CCAGCCCTACCTCCCCACTTATGACAGATCCCGTCTTCATGGAAACTGCCTAGCAGCGCATATTCAAGGCCGGCTGCGGGCCTGGTGGATCTGCATTTCATGTGCCCTTCCTGGCCAGCCGTGCGTGCCTGGAATCAGTCCTCTATCTTGCCCACCGGTAGCCTGGGTCCACGTCCGGTGCAAGGGGAGGACGCGGAGCCCAGGCTGATCTCCACACACGGACAGGTGAGGGTGACCCCGCCCAGCTGCCTCGCTGCCCCTCTGCCCCGCCCACTGGTGGTAGCACCGCCCCAGCCTCCAGCTGGCGACACAAGCAGGTCAGGACTTCCGCGCGGCCCCGCCCTCCCCGGCCCCGTCCAGCTATCCCATAAGCCTCCCCCCATCCCCGTCCTGGCCGCGCCCTGGCTCCCATTGGCTCCGCAAATTCTGCCCTCGCACGTCTAGACTCGGGAGAACGCACGACGCAAGCGCTAGGGGAGGGCTCCGCGGCGTTGCCATGGTTACAGGAACCGCGAGCCGCGCGGGCCGGCGTGCGCTTCTGGGGCGGGGAGCGGGCTCCGGAAGTGTGTAACTGCCTGGGACCCATAGCGGCATTTGCTGCTGGGGTTGGCGGCTTGCTTGGCCGGGCGACTAGTTCTGACCCGGCCAGTCGGCGGCCGACATCCTGTCTGGGACGGCGTACCACAGACGGTAAACGTACGTCCGCGCTGTCGGCTGGGCCGGTGGACATGAACCGGTGTGGGATCGGGGTTGGGGTGGTGGCCAGGGAGGGCTGTGGTGCCAGGGATCGTGTTGGGGCAGGGCGGGGCAGGGCTTGGGTACAGCCTCAAGCTTTCCTCCCCCTCAGGCCCTGGGGCTGGGGCCGCGAGTCTGGGTCTCCCTTGGTGGCCGCGGCCTCCCAGAACCCCCCGGGAAGGGCAGGCAGAGGACCCATCTTAGATGAAGCGGGACCTTACCCGGGTTTTGAAGAGCCCCAGAATCAGATGTTGGAATGGGGTGGCTTATCAGCCTTGTTTATCTGCAGGGAAATTTCAGTTTCATCCAGATCTTGGTTCCTTCAGTCAACCTCAGGAATAAGACAAGGGTCAGTGCCGGTAAGCAGTTATCTAGCGTTTGACTCAAAATAAACTATGCGGGGTGTAGGGATGGTAGATGGGACCC